CGATCGCGCTTTTAAATTAAAAGTCAATATAAGCGGCGCCTGCGATACACCGTGCGCTAGGCTCGCGTCGCGAATATCCGATCAATCCGTGCCGCGCATTATCAACGCAGCTACGTTGGAAATGTGCGCTCGATATATCCTCCTTCTGGGATATTCTATATTTTTTGTTCTTTTTTCTTCCTTTTTGCTGTGAAAAGAGGAAGGAGAGATTGTTTCGAGCCGGCGAAACGTTCGTAGATTAGCACGTTCCGTGGCCCCCTTGACTTTTGGCTTGGTTCTTGCCCCGGTAATTTGTAGACGATCTTCCCCACCTGGCCTGCCGGCGGCTGCTGCTGGCGAATTCATGAATTAAACAACGCAAACCGACCGACACTCTCAGACTCTTCCCTCTCGGTTTTTCTCTTTCTCTATGTTTATACTTTGTGTCCTTTGCATAAAAAATACTCGAGTCCTTTTTGACGCTGTTTCAATTCCTCTTCGAGTGTGCGCGCGCGGGATAGATAAGGTGAATAAGAAATGGGGGGAAATGAAAGAAGTTTCGTATTTGATTTAATATTTTACTGTCCAAGGTCGTATCAGTGTCTGATACACACTTTCGCGTAGAAACACATAGGTGATCTTGGAAGAAGAAAAATAGAAAAAACGAGATTTAACGCTGAATAGGTTTACGCGATGCGTTATTTTCACGAATTTCGAATTTCACAGGAAAATTAGAGAAACCGTTTACATTTCTCTCCTGCCACTTATGCTTGTTACAAATTTTATACAAATACATAGTATCACATAGTTTCGTTTATAAGTTAATAGTGTATATGTTGTTTTTTAAAGAAAATGTGCGGTTTCGTTCAACCCTCAATTTGTCACGAGTCCGTGGAGATAGGTATGTAAGAAATGTCCGTAAACCTGCTATTAAAATCATTTAAATTACGTATAAAAATTTTCTCGTACCACCGTAGCTAGAGAACATAATTGGATTGCCCACTTTTCATGGACCACTGTGTACTCATATATAAATGATAAATACACGTTTTCTCCCGCAGAGAATGTGTCGAATCAGAGGAGACCTGTAGAAAGAAGAAAAGAGAGAGAGAGGGAAAAAAAGGAAAAAAAAAATGGTGGAAAAGAAAGGAAGAATGCGACGAAGGAACGATGGAGTCCAGCCAATTACCTCCATCCCCCTGGCAACGTTCGTCCATTCGAGAGGCCGCAATTTTCTCCATTCTTGTAGCCCTGCAACGACAAACCACCCAACGGAGTTTCTAGAAAAGTTGTGCAGAGAGAGAGAGAGAGAGAGGGGAATGGTTTATTGCATTTTGGCCCTGGCTAGCAGCAGAGCCGACAGCGGTAGGCATCAATTTCAAGCTACGCTCCAACGACGGATATTCGCGGTGCCGTATCGTTTATTTTGATTTGCTGGATTCGTTATCGGGCCAGGCCTGGTTGCGCGCCGAGGGTGCCCGGGATTAAGAGATTTCGACGGGGAATTTATGGCAGGGGCTTCTTCGCTGCTGGGACTTCATAAATACGCAGGTCCAGGTAGATCGAATCCTCGACCCTGTTTTCGAGGGCAGCACATCCATTTCCTCTATTTCTCTTTCTCCCTTTTTTCTTCACCATTTCTGCTTATTAGCATATTTTCTTCTTATTTCTCGTCCTTTTTGTAACGAGCAGGGAAAAAGTATCGGGTTGGGCATATGTACAGAGTGATTCACGTAATTTGTCTACACTGAATAACTTTTAAAACGTGTGTTTTTATTTTTACTTCTTTTCGTAACGGGCAGGAGAAATGTTGCATGTGTACAGGATGATTCGCGTAATTTGGTCACTCTGAATAAGAAAAAAGTATTAGTCCACTTTGAATAACTTTTAATGTATGCGTTCTTATTTTTAATTCTTTTCGTAACGGGCAGGAGAAATGTGTCAGGTTGCATGTGTACAGGGTGATTCGCGTAATTTGGTCACTGAATAAGAAAAAAGTATTAGTCCACTTTGAATAACTTTTAATGTATGCGTTCTTATTTTCAATTCTTTTCGTAACGGGCAAGAGAAATGTGTCAGGTTGCATGTGTACAGGGTGATTCGCGTAATTTGGTCACTCTGAATAAGAAAAAAGTATTAGTCCACTTTGAATAACTTTTAATGTATGCGTTCTTATTTTCAATTCTATTCGTAACGGGCAGGAGAAATGTGTCAGGTTGCATGTGTACAGGGTGATTCGCGTAATTTGGTCACTCTGAATAAGAAAAAAGTATTAGTCCACTTTGAATAACTTTTAATGTATGCGTTCTTATTTTTAATTCTTTTCGTAACGGACAGGAGAAATGTGTCAGGTTGCATGTGTACAGGGTGATTCGTGTAATTTAGTCACTGAGTAAGAAAAAAGTATTAGTCCACTTTGAATAACTTTTAATGTATGCGTTCTTATTTTCAATTCTTTTCGTAACGGACAGGAGAAATGTGTCAGGTTGCATGTGTACAGGGTGATTCGCGTAATTTATCCACCCTGAATAAAAATAAAAGTGTTAGGTTGAATATATGTATACACAGGGTGATTCACATAACTTGTCCATCCTGAATAAGAAAAAAAGTATTAGTCCACTTTGAATAATTTTCAAAGTATGTGTTTTTATGTTCAATTCTTTTCGTAACGGACAGGAGAAATGTGTCAGGTTGCATGTGTACAGGGTGATTGACGTAACTCGTCCATGCTAAATAAGAAAAAAGTATCAGTCCACTTTGAATAATTTCTAAAGCATGTATTTTTATTTTCAATTCTTTTCGTAATGGGGAGGAGAAATGTGTCAGGTTGCATGTATACAGGGTGATTCATATAACTCGTCCGCCCTGAATATCTCCTAAAGTATGTGTTCCACAGGAAAGTGTTTTATATAGAAATTGTAAGGAATCGAAGGGAACATACGATCCTCAAACTTGGTTTTTAAATAATCTATTTGTTTGCGAGATATCAAGATGAATTTTGTAAATGTAACTCGTACATTTTCGTACGAAAATTGAAAATAAGGTAAAAATGGAATACGTTAATTAGTACATTGTTGAGAAAAGTGATCAATAATAACGGTGCGCATATTTTCATTAAACAGAGTTAATTATTTATCTGAAAATACATGGTTATTATTTCGACTTGTTAATTTCACGTAACGCAGACATAATACAAAGAGAAATAGGGACGATTATATTCGAGATAGGTCTGGTTCTTTCCCATTTCTTCAGTGGTAAACATCGAATTTAACGAGATATATACATTTGTAATTACTACATTCTGATTCACAAGCGAGAGGAGGCTTGATCCCTTGGAGTATAATATGATAAAATATGCACAACGAATTCCGAAATATTCCTACAATGGTGGATTATTGATCGAGCGAGGATATCCAACAGAGTCGCTCTTCTGAATAATAAAAGTCGTTTCGATACACGATTTTCGCGGATTCGAGGGCAGGAATATTCCGTCGAATCCGCGAGTCTTGGTGTTGTACGCTTCGCGTGTGATTTTGTGTCACTACACGCGTCAGCGAATTTTGAAATTCGCCGTTCCACGGAGAACGCTGAATTCAGCTGACGTGCAACGTCACCCTTTGTCGACGATCCAGCTAATCGTGAATATTCGCTACACCGTTATTCTCTCTAAAAACCACACGGAAAATGAGTACTTGCCAACCGTGCAAGAATTACAAAATAACCATCCCAAAGAAAAAAAAAAAGAAGAACTTCCCAACCGACCGTGTACTCGAAGAAAACGAAACGAAAGAAATTTAAAACGTAAAATAAGAAAAAGAGACACGAAATTTACAATCACAAGATAGATATTCCCAACGATTACAGATTGTCTTGAAACGGATCGTTTCTACATTTCGAATTTTCAACAGTCATACACAAACATTCGATCGATTATCGTCGAAGCGTGTACCATCGACGATGTTTACACAGCTACAACGAATAGAAGAAAGGAAGCGGAAAGTGGGACGACAAATGGAAAATTAAAGGAACCGAGTCCCTGGGACGGCAACTGTGAGCCTCGTTGAAAAAGAAAGAGGAAGATCGAAGGGAGAAAGAGAGCGAGAGGTTAGGTCTTTGGGAATGCTAGTAGAAAATCTCTCTGTATATCTATACAGTTTTCTTTCGTGTTTCCACGATCCTCGTGTCGTATTTACTTGTCTGGAATCGTGCTCCGCGGAGCGGAATTATCGAGGATGGTACAAAGTGAAAAGTATCGTAAACCACTCGAACAGAGAAGAAGAAGAAGAAGAAAGTAAAAGAGGGAGGAGATATGCATAGTGGCGGGTGAACGGGATCGAAAAGAAGGGTTGTCCGTTTCTCTTGGCAATTAACTATAGTGCCGTTACAACGTAATACGATCAGGCGAATAAAAACGCCGAAGAACCAGCTGAAAAATAGAATAAAAGAAGAACAACGTTGGATCAAGGGAGAATCCCCGAGTCTCTCCCTTTTACTTTGCCGCCGCGCCACAATTCCACTCGTGTTTCCACGCTTTAAATCGAACGGACGCGACACGAAGAAACCGTTCACCCGCTAATTTAATAAAAGTATCAGCGTAGCGGTACATTTTAACGAGCCCCTACCTGTTGTTCCGTGTCCCTGCGAATTTATTCGCGTCGCGAACCCCGGACCAACACAAACGAGAACGGATAGAGTTGTTCTCGCGAAGTGAATCCAGAGAGAGAGAGAGAGAGGGGCGAAACGAAGGAAAATTAACACAAACATTATCCTACGTACCGTTCAATTTTCTCTCTATTCTTTATACAACACCTTTGTTTCTTTTCTCTCTTCGCTCTTCCTATCCCTTGTTTCGCTTCACGAACGATTTCAAATCAAAATTCGCGCGCGTTCGACGTTTCTATCACTCGATACATTTTGATAGCCGTCCAATGTTTCCCCCTACGAATATACTCTCTGTAAACAGCGCGTGTTACGTCAGAAGTAGAGAGAGCCAGTGAAGAATAATTAATCATCGAGGCAAGTCGCGCAAGTGAATTACCGTCGCGACGTTCCTTCGAAAATATTAACGTACACCGTCTCTATACCACGGGAAATTATTTGTTTCCACGAATTTTCGAGGAACCACGAATATACTACTCGTGCACGCGTAAATTCATCGGGAACGTCGTTTCTACGGACGTTCAGAAAGAAGTTATCGCGTACGACCTCGTCCAGTAGCTCGTCCGGGGTCACGGTGCGTGCTACAAGTGATAAACCGCTTAATCACGTTTCTCCCGAATACGTAAATGCTTCACGGAACATCAGGAAGTTGCAATTCACGAATGACACCACACTTTTCACGCATAAAACCGTGAGGGAGCGTAACTCCGCGCGAGAACGCGTCTCGCGAATCGTTCGATAGATCACGTTCCGACGTTTAATCGTATTTCCAACAGGTAAGCGTTCCTCCTGTTATCAATCGTGATTTTTAACGCGTTTACACGAGCTTCGGTAGTGTAGAACCGATAGGCGCGTGCGTATAAGGAAATCAGTCGGGGAAATACGCTGTACGTTATAGAAAAGCGAACGACGAACTCTTCGGGAGCTTGTTACAAGCTCGGAATAGCGAATGGTAGCGGAGAATTGCGCCACGGGTCTCTGATCTCCGTTGCGCAACACGTCAGGCGCGTACGAACTAACCTCGCGACATTAATTCTATCCTGGTTAACCCACTTTTCAATGCTCTTGTCCTATCGATACACCGTCTTTGTCGTTCGATCAGTTATTTACGACCACCGTTGACACTTTTCACATGTTTATCTTGGCAATGACTAAGAGCAGTCGTTGGGTGGTTCGAGGTAACGATAACACACGCGTGATGATTGGAAAAACGTAATCGGGAAGTGTAGAAGGAGAGTTACTGTTTTAAACCTAGTTATCGTTGCGCTATTTAACGTGCAGGTGGAAATTGTTAATCTCTATTTGTCGCGTACAGGCTACACTTGAAAGCGTGGATTTTAATCGATCGTAGGAGAGACGCTTTTAGATCCGTACCAAAAGGAAACGGCACTGTCCACACGCGGCACTCGACTCGCGGTGATCTCTCGGTGGATACAGTGGCGAAGAGACCGGCGAGGAGAAGAGGAGAGATAAGTAGTCACTTCTCGATTAGTGGTCCGTCAGAGCTTCGACGGTCTTTCTCGAGACGAAGAGGACAGCGTAGTCATGTGGATTTCACGGATCGGTACCGTACTTCTGTTTCTCCTCGTGATTCTCTTCTCGACGTCTTCGGAATGCGCGAGCAATTCCACCGCGCCGAGGAGCAAGTTCAACATATTGGCGATCTTTGCTCATCCGGGGAAAAGTCATTTCGACGTGTTCAAGCCTCTGTTGGAGGAGTTGGCTCGAAGAGGTCACGATTTAACCGTGATCTCGCATTTCCCTCGATCGCAGAAGGCTAACGCCGCCGAACCTTTGCCTACCTACAAGGATGTCAGCCTGTACAACGAGAAAAATGGAATACTCGTGAACGTGGTCGATCTACACATGATCGTCGATTCGTTCTACAAGATCATCCGGGATCTAGTGATGCTGCACTACATGTCCGGCAAATCCTGCGAAACATGCCTGAGCGATCCTACTGTTAAAGAATTTATCGACTCGAAACCGAAGTTCGACGTAATTCTCGTGGAGAGTTTCAATACTAACTGTTTCATGACGCTTGTTCACAAGTTGAACGCACCTTTCATCCAAATATCCACTCACCAATTGATGCCGTGGGCTATAGACGATTTCGGACTTTCTCAGGAGACCAGCTACATACCTGCTATGTTTACCCGACTCCCAAGGCCGATGAACTTCCTCGAGAGGACGTTGAACACGATAACAGCCAGCTTCTTGTCGCTTGTCTTCCACACGATCTACGAATGGCGCGATCACGCTTTAGCCGAGAAATATTACGGTCAAGGTATACCGAATCTGCAAACTGTCAGTAACAACGCCTCGTTGATGATGGTTAACACGCATTACACCATCCACGGATCGATACTCTATCCACCGAACGTTATCGAAGTCGGCGGGCTTCATATCCCGCCGAAAGTGAAGCCTCTGCCGAAGGAGATCGCCAAGTTCTTGGACGATGCACGCGAGGGTGTTTTGTACTTCAATCTTGGCTCGATGGTCAAAATGGCCACGGTGCCGAAGGATAAGTTGGAGATATTGTTGAAAGTGCTCGGTTCTATCCCCAGGAAAGTGATTTGGAAGTGGGAGACCGACGATATGCCGAATATACCCGGGAACGTTCTCGTGCAGAAATGGCTACCGCAGTACGACGTGCTGAGTGAGTAACTGTGTTTCGCTTTCTTGTATTAAAACCAACCCCCCTTTTGAGTGTTGCGTGGCGAATATACCAGTCGATACGGGCTATGAAATAAATGGCTTTTGATATACGGTGAAAAATTGGAGAGAGCCGATTCGTTGGAAGGGTTGAACAATCGTGAAAATGTAGATCAACCCTTATGTCGATAACCACAATTGTCGTCTACTTTATCGCCTAATTTTACCAGTTTTCTGATAAGAAAATTGCTGGAATCCGGGGAGGGAAGTAAATATCGATTATATTTTAACAATATAACTTTTATTTTGGCGGCGATACTTGCACACGCGGATTCTCTATGACAATGCGCGAACTTCACGAATAGAAGATAACGTTTGTTTTTGCTATAATGATCTTCTAAGGGGTTTCTCGGGTATACTTATAAGGAAGGGATTTGGGGGAGAAGGTGAACTTGGTTCTGGTGACGAATTGCTGGACAGGACTTCGAAGGGACAGTCAGCGATCGACGAGTAACTTGTTTTTCGGCGTTATGGGGTAAATCTTAAGAGTGACTTGGTGACTCAATGTCAATAGGCGGTTGGTTATCCAACAAAATTCGAAATTTGAGGCAAACACGGATAGGAAATGTGCGAAATAACGACGATCCGGCCGGATATTTCAATCTTTTATCTGGAAGATCAAATATTTTAAGTGAGAAATAACGTAGTTAAGTATGCAAGGTGTTCCAATATTTAGGTGACATTTTTTCCTTATACATACAGAATGTAGCGATAAAGTTTGATAGGAAAAACTTGGACACCTTGTGTACAAGTGTTAAGTTATGAAATACTGACATTGCAAAATTTTCATTGCACCGTCGAGAATGTTTGTCAGTAGTATTGAGGTGACTCGTTGCGTAATGTTTATTACGTGCAAGTAATAATATTAGTTTTATTATCGCGTTCGATGCGAGCCTATTCGATGCTCGTTTAAGCGAAACTTTTTCTGATAACTCTCCTCGCTGATAGGAGGGACGTGTTTCATTGACAGCGAAAAAAATACGAAACCTGATTACGTATTATCGCGCACGGTGTAATCTATTTCCTCTGGCAACGAAACAATTGCTTGAACGTTTTATTATTGGAACATGTGTAGTGTTTTTCCCCTTTTGCCGTGTCATCGTCACCTTTAGCAGAAAGATTACACGATGACAATTCGTATGTTGTAGTACATATAATCTTGAAGGAATCCATTTCATTAGGTCGTTAAGCCTGGAGAGACAAGCTTTCTGTCTTGAAAAGGGAACGTTTGTAATCCTTACAGTTATTCCCTGAATCACACACACAAAGCAAGCTTTTCCAATCCTCCGGTGCACTCGTTTATTAGGCAGAGACGTTTCGTCGCTGCGCAACCAGCCGCTCATTACGAGGTTTAATATGTACGTCGAACGAGGTAAACAATGATTCATCGGTCGTTCCATTAAAAGCAAAGGGTATACTCCGGTAGATTACGCTTACGCGCGTCGGCTACCGGTATGTATCTTAGTTAATGAATGACAAATCACTTTCTACCTGATGTCGTTCTCCGTAATCTTGCAATTTTATCTCACTCATCCCTGTCTCCTGTATGAATAATTTAATCAGTCTCAGTGTCACGTTGGTAACTCGACGACGTAGACTAAAAATATCTATCTTATGAATATCGTATCGTACTTTCTTCGTTCTCTTCGCAAATTATCTTCGTTGCTCTTTTTAACCAGCTGTAATAAAACGGGCGTGATAAAGAACGAGACGAGGAAAAAGCAGCTGGTCGGCAATTGGTTAATAATGGATCTCGTTCCGCTAAATCGTAAGGTCAATTTCTCTTCTCGGACCGCAAACCGTGAAGTCAAAAGATTTGGACGGTTCAAGGCCGTTTCCTCGGGTCGGAATCACGCGAGTCACGAGCACACCGTTTTGATACATCACAGACACGTGGCAGAGCACGTACCAACTCTTCTCTCTCTCTCTCTCTACCGGTGATATCTAACGCGCCGACACGCTCCTCGTTTTTTCATCTGATCCTCATTTGTCCCGAGTGCTCTCTCTCTTCTATCCTCTGTGACTCGTTTTTCTCTCAGGGTTTCCCCTTTCATTAGCATATTGTGCCCAGGTTTGACGTGCGTGTATGGCCTTGAGGGGGTTAGAGCAAAGAGAGAGAAACACATTGTACAGGGAGAGAGGTTTAGGTCTCTCGTATTGGTCCGCGGCGCGACGTGGATGGTTTCGAACGGAGGCGAGGAGAATCGATCGGTACTCGAGAATCGAAATTGAAATTCCCCGACTGGCGCGATGCATGGAACTAATCGAAACGGCCCTTGGAAATCGCAGCGAAATATCGAAAGCGGATTTCGGCCCGACTCGATATTTGCACATGGCGGCACGTTGCCGAACGTCAAATAGTTTTGAAACTTTGAAAACCGGTTTGCATAGTCGAGGGGTTTTCATTCTCTCTAAATGATATCGTGCGCGCCAATGATACTTTTATGTATGGTATTATGTATATGGTTAGGTGTATATAATACAACACGTCGATCATCGTGAATATGGAATTATTTTTTAATCGGAAAATTATATCGACGTGCACGAATAACGTTTCATATTATTCTGGTACAGAGATCAATATTATTTCTCTTCTCCAACGAATTAGTTTTCGTCGTTATACTCTTCTATGTCATAACGTTCTTCTGTGTAATTATAGAATGGTTTTTTCCCCTCCAAATGCGCAACATTTCGTGAAACGACGTTTTAGTATATACTCGTATATTATGTGATACATATATACATATATATAGATAGCATGTGTTCGTAATTGCGTGGCGACGAAGGAAGTGGTTAAAACGTTGTCAAGGACGAACTGATTCACAGTTTCCACTCTTCTTTGTGGACGGGGGATTTTCTTATGTCTAGCACGTGTTTAAACACGATAATTTAGTCGATCGATCAAATCCTAATGGGAACGTTTGGTTAGCAACTTATTGCTAACCTCTTTAGAGGCGTTATTAGAATTGAGAGCGAAACACCTAACTTAAAGGTTACTTATGCGAGAGAGAGTTAAATTAGATTTGGTGGCACATTTGAAGCCCAGTAAGGTTGGGAAATAAATTACAGTAATTACAGAGAAGATAGAGGGAAAAGATTAGAAGTTGTATATATACTAATAGGAGCCTTAGCGAGGACTAGCGAGAAAGGATAACGTGACGTCCCTCTGGCGATGAAGCGTAGAAGGTACCGTCGTGAAATATAAAAAAGAAGGGATAATAGTAATACAAGGAAGTATAAAAACAGGTAATCTTAAACTTGAAACTAAACCACGATATAATAATGACAGTAGAGGAAACGATAGGTACAGGTAACATTTTTCCACGAACCACTATGGTCTCTAACCAAAAACAACCTTTCCCTAATACTCCGGCAGTTGGTTACAGTACAGCTCTCGGCCGCTGTCGAGTGAAATGACTTTAATTAGGCAACTCGCTAACGACCTACCGGCAACATAAATCACCGTTAAAGCTTACTACGAGGGTTGACCTCGGTGTGTCGCATTGTTTCTGTCGGTTCTTCTTCTGCCCGTTTCCACAAGCAGTAGGTAGCTTAGGCAGTAACGTGGTCAGCCTGGAGGCATCGATTTACACGGCGGTCGGTTACGCATGCACGCACTTGAGTTCGCCAGAATAATGGAAACCGCACACGTTGTCTGATCTGGTTTGGTCGATTGCGAGATTTCTTAACCAAGTGAAATTACTACGCGCCGGTCGTGGTATATTTTACCGAATAACTTCTTTTTTTTTTATGATCGATGACACTCGAACAGCGTGGAAAATCTGGCCACGTAAGTGCTTTAAATAGCTTGTTTGTCGTACACGACCAGAGATCGTGACACGTTTACGGCCGTTCAACGTTGCATAATGCCTGGGTTCTTTTTTCTTCTTTTTTGTTCTCTTGGAGGAACACGCGTCCGCTAGGTGATCGGTCAATTTGCTTGTCCGGCTTCCTGTTTAGTTTTGTCAGACACCACCGCCGCTCGCGTCTTTCGCAAATTTACCGGCTAAATATGCGTGATGCCGTAGTACAACGTCACACGGTGACGTGTATGCACACGTTGCGTAACACGTCGTCCACGCCTCTCTTTTAACCAAAGCTCACGACCTCCATTAACGTTGCATACAGACAGCAGCACACTGTGTGCAAATCTTTTTCCTCCCCCTTTCGCGTTGTGTGTTATCGTGTGTCTAATAATTTTCGATATTATGCAATTTTCAACGAAGCTAATAACTTTAAGTGAGTCCGCGCGCGCCGCCACCGTCGCCGGCGGCTTTCCTCTCTGTTTAATAATTCACAATACGATCTACAGTCGCGCGCGCGTTTGTTGTTTGGGGGACGTTTTTTTTTCCACGTCACGGCGGTTGACTCGTCGTTATCAGCGATCGGTCAAACGTTATTTTTCATCGTGGCGTGGACGCGTTAAAGCCGACGATCGAGTTTTTCGCCGGTGGTCAGATAATCTAGCTAAAACTGACGGTAACTCGAGCGGAGGCTGGGATCGATCGCTTTAATTTTATTATCTCTCGCTTCGTGACCGCTGTATCCTCCTCCTCCCCCCGTATTCCTTCGTCTCTGCTCGCCCGCCCGACCCCTCTAAACTTGCCTCTTCGTGATCTCGATAAGATCGCTGGCTAACGCTTCATCCCCTTCTTCTCTCTCTCTGTGTGTATATACGTGTGTGTTACTTCGCACGCTTTGATCCGATGGGCCACGCGAAACGGTGCACGAGCCTGATCGTAACTCACGTTAAGGGTCGTTCTTATAAAACCGTGGAAATCGTTAATCCCTGTCCTTTAATTGGCGCCACGTAGATTCTCCCCCGTTTGACCACCGAGGGTAACTACATTTTTATCGGATAACTTCGTAACAGTGGATTGGGGGAGAGATATCAGCCTGTCGTATCGTGCAAATTTAGCTACAATTATGTGGCAAGTTGATTATGAAAGAGGAAGCAATTGGAGAGAGGATAAGCGAAAGGCGATCCCTGTATTAGATTCAAGTTAGAAGTTGTATATATACAAACAGTAGGCTTAGCGGGCACTAGCGAGAAAGATCAACGAACTGTCCCTCTGGTGACGCAACACGTAAGAGATATAATAAGATACGTTTTATCGCGAGATGTATTGATATTAAATATGAGTATTATCGACATTCTTATCGTTTCAACTAGCTTTGTCTCTTTTTTCTTATTCCGTAGCTATAGTATGTAAGAGTTATTCTTAGCCTGATTCTACAGCCTCACGCAGTTGGCATTGTGTATAGACCCACCAGGTGATCTATAATACACACAATGTACATTTTCGCTTTGTACCGTATCCTATCTAGGTTACGGACCATTTATTCCATGAAAACGTTCGAATAAACAGAATCATTCGATACATCGGCATAGACATAGGCGGTTTCAACGTTGTCGCGGTGTTTGCGATCGATCCTGTCAATTCGCATAGGACTCGCTAATGTAATTGACTTTAGAGACGAACGATATCGACGAAGGTAGGACGATGGAGGGATGTGTTGACACGCAATGCCCTCGAGTATCGCATTTAAGGATATAAAGCCAAGGATGAAACACCATTGGTATTACCCCGAGGGATAGGAGCCAAAGGAGATCGTTCTATCCGGGGCCACATTTTCTTCCTTCTTCCTTCTTTTTTTTCTCTTCTTCTTCTTCTTTTGCCATCCATTAAGGAATGGGGTATACTTCTTTGTTACTTTTACGATTCTATTAGATTAGGCGCGTTGGATGGTTGCGCACGGTCGGGCCGATGCTGACTCGTGATGCATTGCTGAAATTTCAAATGCGAATCGATCGAGATTTATTCTTCCGGGGGAATTGGAGAATCAACTATTCAGCTCGACTTTGTTACAGCGAGAAGATTATTCACTTCTCTTCTTCATGGTATCGGTGCCGGATCATTCTGGAATAAATTTATCGGTGTAATTCGAGGGGGCGAGCATCTGGCGCGAGTGTATCTGGTATCTATAGGAAACGACTTGTCGTTGGAACGTGACACTTTGTCTCGATGTCAATGTTCCATCGCCCCTGCTGGGTACTTTGTCACCGTGGAAGGTTGCCATCGTAAAGTATGAAGGTGTAGGCCGTTTCGCGACGACCTTTCGGATTACCACTTGTGTATCTACAGCGGCTGGGTATAAAGTAGTAGGTACAAACTGTGTTATTACAGCGTCTGTATAGAAGAGTGAATAAAATTTCTTATCGTGAAAAAGAACTTAACCCCTTTGTAACCAGAGTTTTTCTTTGTTCGTGAGAAGAAAAATTATCGAAGCATTAACAATTATAAGAAAAAGAATTTTCTGATAATAACGTAATAGTAGAATGTAGCTTGATGCATTCAGATAAAAATCTGACAAAACAAACTGATTCTCCGATGTGTAGACGAACAAATCTTACACAGCTCGACGCAGAACAAATCTTCCAATGGGTGAAATATGACTCAGGCCAACTCGGAACAAATCTTACGATGGGTCAAATATGACCCAGCTTGACCCGGAACAATTCTTACGAAGGGTCAAATTACGACCCAGCTCAGCTTTTCGTCGGACAGTTACCATAATTGTAACACGATTTTCCTACTATACAAATCTCATCTGTAAACACTTGTCCATACAACTAAACTCGAACCACCCTACCTCTCTCATTATTTCCATCTTACGACCCCTTCCTCCACGACGAAATATCAATTCTCGCCGTAGGGTGTGGGCATGAACGTTGGTCGTAAGCTGCAAGGGGGACACGAGCATCGTCGAGGATATACAGCCGCGTTATTTCCTCGTTACCGTGGTGTTCTCTGCCGCCGTAAAAATGTATCTGTATCGCCGGTAGCTCGTCTCACGTCTGACGCGGAAATCTCGAAGCAAATCGTGCGCGAACGCCCCAATGATTTTCTCCCCCCGCTTTCCCTATGGTGTGTGTGCGCGGCGGCTTGCCTTCGGTGTGGTATCCTTTTATTCCCGATGTCGTTGGCAAAAATTCAGGCCAGCCTGAGGAATAGATATCCTCTGTCACGTATCGACGCGCTGCGCCGATGCGACGGTGTATCGAGCGTGAAACCTCGAGGAGAGCTCTGGGCTGTCGTAGTCGAACCTTCCACTATTCTCCACCCTTCTCTCTCTCTCTCTGGTTCACCCTTACGGTTTCACCAGACGACGTAACCCCATACAGCTCGTCTACATCTGTACCCAAATCGAGAGGGGGCGGCTTGGGCGTCGTGAGACGTCAGGAGGTGGTTAGGAGATGGAGGAAGAGCAAAGGACGAGGAGGAGGAGGAGGAGGAGGAGGAGGAGTGTGTGTGTGGTAATGGAATTTGACATTAGGATCGACGCCCGAGGAGGTACGGAATCCTGTATGGCGTCCTCCCTTGGGCGAGGGGGTGACTCCTCGCGATAAACGCAAGGACGACGGGAATTTTTCAACCGAATATTCCACGCTGGGATTTATTTAAAGTCGAGGAGCTTTTCAGGAGAAGCTCGATAGCCTTCTTCCTTATTATACGGGTTACCGGGGAGATTTCTGAAGACGGCAGGATGGTATTTTGCGAGGGTTTGCTCGAGTCTCGTTCGTATTGTGAGGATTCCTGGATGACCAACCTATTGATTCGTTCATTTATGGTGGGTGATTGGGGAACGAGGAGAGGGAAGGTTTCTTCGAGTAGTGAATTACTATTAAGCCTTTAACCATTTGCGGTTCAAATAGTCCAGTTAGCCTGCACTCATTTGGTCACTGCCGGACAGTACCATGTGGTTTCCCTTTATTTCAATATTTCAGCGTAATGTTAATTGTAAAATAGTCAGTTTCAGTGTAATATTAATGCTTGAAAAAATGGCTTATTATCGTTTATAATTTATCGTTATATGTCTGAAGGTGAAAGTTCTTATATCGAGTTCGACTCGATATAGGACCGCAAAGGGTTAACGATCATGCTTGTGTCCTACGTGTGCACAATTAGTCCTCGAAAAAGTGTAATTTTGTTTAATTTCCTTTCGAAATTTTCAATTTTTCTTTTTCGTTTAATTTTAATTCACTTTCCATATTGCGTTATCCTTTCTGTTCTATTGCAAAAATGTGAGTTACAGCGTTATAAATGAATGGCAAGCTTATTTCTACACGCTTAGGGGATAATCGAAAAGAAATTAAATTTGTCATTTTTAGCATCGAGTTGATAAAAATGTTAATAAATACAAATCGGCGTTGACGTTTCTAACTCGGATTTCAGCAGGGTTTATCAGTGTTTTTTTTTATTTCACGCGAGATCGGAGCGAGTGAGTATTATTAAGTAACGTCCTTGGGGAATGTGATGAATGTTTAATCGAACAATGAACGAGTAATTAGTTGAAACCGTATAGGAAATTATTTACGTTCGACGTGAAGATAGAAGTTTAATTTCGGATATCTATGTATGATTAGAGACACGACACTCTCGCTTTTTTTTTTCACGTTGGAGTGAAGAAAAAAAAAGAGGTACGGTATCTGTGTCACGGTGAACGTAGCTGAATTTTCACCACGATTTTCCAATATCGAGAATCGATTTCTCCGGGACGCGCGGTTTGATTTCGACTGGTTTTAACACCAGACTCTTTAAGGCCACGGGAAACGATTTAGTTCCTCTACCGATTGATTGGTTACACTGAAATTCGTTGGGAATTCTCTGGCGAATGAATCGACTAAATGGAACGTTCGTTCTTTTTCTCTTCTTTTTTCTTCCAGATCACCCGAATGTTAAGTGCTACTTTGGCCACGGCGGTCTTCTAGGATTGACCGAGGGTGTTTATACGGGAGTACCGATGGTACTGATGCCTTTGTACGGTGATCAATATCAGAACTCGATCGCTGCTCAAGCTAGAGGCGTTGCTTTGGTGGTGAAATTCAGCCAGCTTACTGAACAGACCTTGAGGCACGCTTTCGACGAGATATTCAATAATACCAGGTACGTTCATTCTTTCAATTTATTTCCATCCTGAAAAGAGAAACGCGTTACGTCGAAGTGTGTTAGACGAGTAACGAGACGAACAATAAACGCACAGATTTCGTACAAAATTTTCACCGTCTCGTTACTCTTCCAACACAACGAACAGAGACGATTAATGTGTAACAGAAAGATTTAAAAAGACGTAAGAATCGAACGCGGAGCTATTTATACGAGAAATTCAACCGTCAAAGCTGATCCTACAAATGCAGCGCACACTCGTCGCAATTAGCTTCACTTTCGCCGTCACGTCTCGCGGTCGAGGAGGCACGGATATCCGGCTGGCTCGAGCGTTGAATTCAGAACATCGATAACGAATATTCAATGTTACGTCGCAATAACGCGGGAATGCTTGATCGTGGTAACGAGAAAGTCGAATTCCTGGTCATTCATTTCCACCCCCTACCTCTTTCTCCGATAAATCATTCGTACAGATTTCTCACCGATACACACACCTACACACGAATATCTCACCCTTTCTAAAGGTATCAGTTACCGATCGAACTTCCCTCTCTTCGTTCTCCATCACCATACAGAAGAGTCCTAAAAAACAAAGAAGACACACACACATGGGAACGTGAACAAAAATAGGGGGAAAAAAGGAGAAACAAAAAGGTAGACGGAATAGTAGTAGAGGGGACGGTGACAAAAAGGAAAATCGTATAATCTGGCCGGATATTCGGGCCGTTGAATATCTCACGAACTGTCCGGATGCTCGGATATCCGGGAAGTGCATCGTCGTTGCAGCACAGGCAACCCCCGTTAATCCGTAACGCGGCTCACTGGCGTTTTTCCACCCTTTCCCCCCACTCTGTCCCTAGTTTCAGCCTGCCAGCGATCTCGCCTACAACCCTCTGCCCTTGTCTCTTCACCGACACTTTAATATCTCTTCGTCCTCGTCCTATTCTCCTTCTCCTACCGTTTCACTGTCTTCCACATCGCCAGGTCGTTCCGCTCTTTCTTCCTTTTTTTTTCGCTCCCCTTTTTCACCCACGTCGTTATACAAGGGGCCTACCCTAAATTCGAGGCACGATTCTAGCGGAAAGAGCGGGACGTGTTCTGCGGATGATTCTCTGGTCCATCGACAAATAGTGGAGGTTTCGATGGTGCCACGGTACGTATCCGGTCGCATGGGAAATTTCACGGCTGCTAAATGTTTCACGGCGTGAATCAACGCCCGCGACGTCGATGCGCCGCGATGACGACCCGGGGAAACCCGGTCGAAATTAAATTCTACATTATTCAATGCCGCGCGCGGACCCGCGGATAACTTGTTAACCGCGTAGTAGCGGGCGTCACGGGCCGCGTGTTTACGCGCGTCGCGACGCCGCGCCGTGTCCAAATAATTGGCCACCGTTGAATTTTTCAACCCCCTCGGCGGCTATTTCGTGGCCGGTGTGTCGCAGCCAAGAGCTGACCCGCTGTCACTTGTCTTACGAACCATTTTTTTTTCTTTTTTTCGAGCGAGCTGTTCGAGAGTGCAAACGTAATGGAATAGGACGACGTGTGTACACTTGGTTCTCGATGTGTATTTTCTGGTCTCATTGGCGCACGGGTCAGGTGTACAGGGTGTTCCAGTTTTCCCTGGACAAACTTTGCCGGTACTCGCTAACTTTGTCGGTGGTAGAAATGTTAACCGTGTATCGCGATGGAGATTTTGGGGATAGTGTCCTGTAAAATTGACTATCGATAGTGGTTCACTGAATGAAATAGGAATAACGGACACTGAATATCGTATTAACACATTCGCGTTGGGCGTTTGGAGCCACGCTTGATACGAGTATGGCGTGATTTTGGGTCTATTTCTTTCAATCGCGTTACGTTGGAAAGAAACTGCTGTAACTGTAAGAAACAGAATGCAAAAACGTAGTTAGAGATTTGTAATTATGATAATGTAGTATCGGGGCCTCCATACCCAAATAGGAAACCTCGAAGGGAGAATAGAGTCTCGGCTTGTGTTAAGTCAAAGGTCCTCGGTTCGATTCCCGTTGGGTCCCTCAATATTTTTCCCTAGGTTCCTACAAGTAGAGAATACTGTTAACGCTCTATCGCTTCGCAGAAAAATGGCCCAAACTCGCTAAGTGTTTTCCCTATTTATATGGTCTTCGCGACCCGCGTTCGCTCTCTCTCACTCTCTTCGCAACTCGCATTCAAACAAACACACTCGCTCTTGTTTAACAACGAACGTCGGAACACCGGTTATTTACGAAAACCAACTCGACCGTCTCGCTCGTTAACCTCCTACATAACTAATTAATATTTTTCAAAGAAATTGTATTTAATTCGTGAATTCGCGTTTTACAAATTCATCTTCAGACAGATGAAAATGAGCGATAATCTCAATAACGCATATTTGCCTCGTCCGACGCGAATGTGTCAAATGAAACAGCTTCGTTTCTTTCCCCACAAAAAAAAAGATAGCAATTTCGACAGCAAACGATAGCGACGATGGGGGGAAAAAATCGAAGGTGTCACGTCGCTCTTTGACAAGAATGGCAATTCGGCGAGCCACGAGTGGCGATTTAATTACGATGCGCCGGCACGCGAGTATGAACGATGAAAAGCGGCTTAATAAATCACAACGGATATGAAAGCGTTGGCAGCGTTACGTTCGACGTAGCTCGGCTACTGTCCCGTTAGTTACGACAGCATGGATTTACGAGCTTCACCGTCTTGGATCTTCGACAGGAGTGGGAAGGGTTAACACATCCGAAAGGATTCTCCTGCCCCCCTGACAATCTCCCTACATCGAACGATTGTATCCACGTTTACGTAACGTCTTGAATATTAATTAATAAATAGATTCGTACCGCGTAATTGGATGATCACGATTTGCATGCCGTTGGTTACGTGATCGAAATATAGGGGCGCGTAATCGGCCGTCTGATGGTTGCGGTTCGAGCTGTCGATTTCTGTTCCGCCTGGTCGAACGTGGGAACGTGTCGTCGTTGCTCGAAGAATTTTCAATTCGACACACTTTCGACCACTTTCCGAATATTTCGTTCTCCGTTATTTCAAAAGAAGAGGTAAAATTCGGTGGATGAAACATAACCAACACCTGGAACGACCTAACGACACGGTGAATTGCGAGAAACGCGAAGGGAAATCGTTGAACGTCGCGTGTTTCCGTGCAATCGTTAAGTGCCACGTCTCATGCACGAGTGATATAAAATTAACGAACGATTTGGAAAGGAGTCCGGGCCGGAGCTGCTCGTTGTCGTGGCGTGCCGCTCGCGGTTGCGCTCGTAATCACCACTTCCCCTTGATTTACGACCCCTTCGTTCTTGCACAGTTTGGCCCGGTCCAAAGTAAGAAAGTCGTCGCGAGTTAAGGCAATAGGAACGGGGGGTGGTTAAGGCGATGCCCTCGATACCGCTGCCGATGATAGGGATACGTTATCGTTCCTTCGGATACGTTTAAACGTACACACATCTCGAGCCAATAAAACGTGAAATTCCAGGGTTTCGGCAAGAGTCAAAGTGGCTTGCCATCGGTACTCTTGGCTCGTTCGCTCGGGCCTCGTCCTTTCTACTCTCCACCGTGATCGATCTGCAACCTTAAAAGGTTATAACCAAAGTTACATTATCGTCTACTCTATGTATGGTTCACGACTTCTCGAAAGAGAGATAGGAAGGAGGAAGAGAGAGGCTCGTGACCCATGTCAGCGATGTGCAGCTTGTTCGATTTCCTGTTCTCCTTCTGGATCCCGCGAGGCGACGCGAAGTGGCCATTCAATTCCCAAAGATCTCTGCGCATGATTGCGCTTGTAAGCCAACTTGGACTTACAGCCATTCCAGTTGAGATCAAACGGCATACACCGCCACTGATGTAGTCGACGTTAGCGATGCCGTCTCTCTATCTCTCCTTTCTCCCCCTTTTCACCGTCTCTGTCCCCCTTAAGAGGTAGTACGATCATATTCAGCTTGTACTTGTACGGAAACTGTACGATCGTAACGATTCCAGGGGTCTTAGGTCGGACATAAATGTCGCGGAAATTTCGTCGAATTTATCGAGCCCCGGAGGACACTTCTGCTACGTTCTTCCTCGCGTTTCCACCTTTTCTCCTACAATTATACGTTATCCACGGTTCGTTTCAACAGTCGAGGAAAAACTTGTTCCACTTTTAACTCCGTCGAATTACCAACCCAGGATATACGTTATTTTTTTGTATAATTAGCGTGGCTGTACTTCAGGTTGCACGGCTTCCTCGTTAATTTTCCACCAGCCAAAGAAGAAACCACCGGTAAAGTCCTGTTTAATCACGTGTCCTCGCGTCACCAGCTGCGCGGAACCCTTTCTACCGCCACGGTTCTTCTTCAGCCACGTCGGTTTCTTCCGTTGATGAACGAAGTTCGGCGTGCCATTAAACGCCACCACGTCCAATTCGACTGTTCCTATGGGGAACGTCCCGTGGGTGTCGTTTAGGGGTGCCTTATGCTTGCCGAAATAAGGGTACGCGTGCTATGCGCGTGTGTATAACGGGGGTTGGAATATACAGGGTGAGATTCTCGACGTCACTTTTTTTCCCAATTTGTCCGTCGAACATTTTGCAAAAATCTCGTGAAGTGTGTCTTACAATTAGTCGATCGAGTAGAAGGTACATATAGCAGAATTTCTTATCGGAGCGTGTAATTTGGAAGATGTTGAAGATGGTCAAGTAACACGGCTCTCACCCAGTATACGTGTGGCGAGGTCGAGCAAGCTGCCACGTAAAGCCAGTAGCCGGAAGGGTGGGGTAGTCAAAGTTTCGACAGTTTGTAAGGAGGTACGAGGCACGCCCCTGTTCCTCCTCTTCTTCTTCGGTTACGGCTGAGGGATAACATAGTGCAGCTCCGTCGTCAAGTTAGCCCGACACCCGACTCGTTCCCCTTTCCTTTTCACCCTCTTCATCCCTCTTGCCGACCAAACGCTGTTGCACCCTTCTCCATTCTCTTCCCACCACCGAGTCGCTTTGTCCTACG